GTTCCATAAAGTATAGGAAAGCAAACAGGAAGATCTGAGAATGTTCCATGTTAAATTTCAGGAGAGAATTTATTAGGTTTTCCTTAAAATGCATAGAAAGTACCCAGAATGTTTTAAGAAAGTTAAAAGACGTGTTAAGGAAACTGCAAGAGAAGTTCAAAAAAAGTTCAAGAAAGTTCCAGGGATGAGCAGGGAAGTTCTATCAAAGTTTTGAAAAACTAAGAAAGTTTAGATGAGTAATGAAAAAGAGCAACTACTTAGAATCCCACACAATCTAACCTTTCCTTAAAAATGATAATCCACCAAATATCACATCTACATTCGCATTTATTGTGTATTTATTTAAGCTGTTATTTGGGTAACTCTGTCTAAATTGTGTCCCTCCCTCCCTTCCCATGAGTGCAGTTGCAGATCTACAGTATACAGATCTCTGATTGAAAAATTAGCAAAAATCGAATTCCAATCCATCCAGAAATCAAAATCAAATGTTGCTTATAAGCCTGCTGTTGTCTTTTGATTGCATTAGCCAGAACTGAGCTAAGGTGGAATGGATACGTGCTTGCATTGCTTTTAATAGTTATGTCTTCTCTTGCAGCTCCACTGTGCCACAGAATGTTCCTTCAGTGTTCAGGCATCCTTCAGAAAGCAGATATGCCAGATATGATGGTCCGTCTTCTACTAATTAGACATTACTCCATTTATAAACACCGGTTTTCCTTACTCAACTCTGATCCCCTTTCCTGTGTTGCAGCAATCCGCAGTGACGCATGGGGAGAACCCAGACCATGCTCAGAATCCCAGCTGAGCCGTAGTTTTCCAACAGGAGGTGAGTGGCCGTATCTTTGTTGTTTCTGTAAACCGAACTAATCTATTGGGTGTATGTTTGGTGGTCATAAACTGTTTCTATTGCAGCTCCTCCACCGCTTCCTCCTAAAACCTTTCCATCTAGAAGTCGTTACGGTTATCCTTCGGACTTGGCAGGTAACTTTCCTTCTGTAAACCTTCAGTGGAGGTCAATCACATGCTGTAGTTCAGTAACAACTGTCCAAACTTTCTTTCACAGCTGATCTACCCAATGGCAGGGCAGCCCGAAGCTCTGCCCCCATCTACCTAAATGTCCTTTCCCCTGCCTCTTACCGGGGGTCCCCAGCCCCTGACCTAGACGACGTGTTTGGTCCTGCTGACAGCCCCAGAATGAGAGAGGAGGCGGCATCTCCCAGATGGGTCACCTTCATGGACGACAGACCTCCACCTCCTGACGAACCAGCTCCTCCTCCACCACCAGACTCTCCTCCTCCAGATACACCTTCCTCCACTCCTTCTACGCCTGGCTTCTCTCCCGGACCGCCACCAAATGAGCCCCCACCTTCTCCTCCGCCGTTTTCCCCAGGATCTCCTCCTCCTTTTACACCACTAGACTCACCGCCCTCAATCGTGCTTGGACCTCCGCCTCCAGATGAGCCAGCTCCTCCTTTGCCTCCTGACTTCTCCCCTTCTGACTCTTCCACTGCATTCCCTGACGAGGAAGGAGTCGACGAGGAGGTCCTGCAGCTGGCAGGGTATGCCTGCTCCTCCACTACAATCAGCCCAGTGCCCCCTTTGCCAGCAGAACGGAAATCCCCTCGGGCAGGGGTCACATCTCCTTTAGTCTACGGGAATCTGGGAGGAAAGAGGACTCCAGAGGGAGCGTACCAGAGGGATGATGTACCGGATCTGACAGGCTCTCCCAGAGAGCTGACACCCAGCTTCAGGGGAACTCCGCCTCCTCTTCCTCCAACCGCATACAGGTCCATCATGTCTTCCCCTGGGCCCTATTCTGGAAGCAGTGAGTGTTCTGGTCTCTTTGTAAATTGAGGTTCACCCTCAGGTATAATTAGAGGACAATTTATATGACATCATGATATCTTACATGCATGGAGGAGAAGGAATTGACTCAGAGGAGAGGATGTAAAGGATAATATAAGGATTTACTCAAATTTACTGGTAGAGAAGATAAAATATTCAAAGCTGCAGAGAAATATTTATTTCTATAGATACTGAAGATGCTAGGATGTAACAAATGTGTTTTAACCCTATATAGCTCACCTAATTGTAGTGAAATGATTATTCAGATTCTCCTAAAGACAGAATAACAGTTTTAAGTAAGACCTGATGAGTTTTTTTTACTTATGAAGTGCTTTTTACAGACATAAACACAAAGTGCTGTAAGAAAATGTCATTATGAAAAATAACAGAGCATAAAACATGGACCTAATGACTAAATAGGCATGAAGGGAGAAATTAAGTCTTCAAAAGAGCTTAATTTAATCTGATGAGAAGGATATAACTGGACAGTATCTACATAGAATTTTACAGAAATTCCTTTATTTTAGTGAAATGTATGATTTTAAATAATATAATACATGTAAAACATTGTATTTTTGCATTTTTTTATACAAAATTGTAAAAAAAAAAAAAAAGACATTTATACCGTTTACGAGAAGGAAAATATTTCAACAAACAGGTTTAGGCCAAAGTTTAAGTTTATAACACCTGCCCTACCTAAAAATGTTTCTTGGGGACAATTTGCAACAAAACTTATTTGTTTGTCTACAGAATATATTCCAACACAAGCAACAAAAAAATATACTTATTTTACTCAACTTTACAATTTTTTTCACCTAAGTTTTTAAACAATTTCCTTAAGTATAAAATAGAGTTACAGCTCTTGAAACTATCAGAAAGAATATTTCACAAGTTCAGACCTTTAACAGATACACAGTTGATTTAACATTTGTTCTGATAATCTATTTTTGTCAACATATCCACAGCCCTGAGATTATTATTATTATTATTATACTAACAAAATGCTTTTTGACAATGGCCATTGTACATTACCAATGCTATATAAAGAATTACGTGATTATAGATCATTAATGCGTTAAATGGAACAGATTTCTTCCCATCTGTTACCAGCCTTATCAACAAGGCCCAGAGCCCCCTGTGACACTTGACCCTACCTCTCTCCTTCCCCTGTTTAGGACCTACAAGCCACACCAACGTAACATCTGCAGACCTTCTGCGTTACACAGACCCACAGTCTGCTGAGTATATAGTATACAGCTATGTACTATATATTGCATACAGTATATTGTGTTTTTAATGTTGCATATTGATAGATTCTGTATATATATATATATATATATATAACTATTTTGTCTGCACCATCAACACCAAGTCAAACTCCTTGTTAGTACAAACCAGCTTGGAAATAAACTTGATTGTGATTCTGAAATAGGCGTTAGATAGATTGTGTTATATGTCAAACTATTGACTATCCTTACGGTTATTTTCTGCAGAGTATAAATTGTTTTTTTTTTGGTTTTATATCCACATATTTCAACAGAGTAGGTGATATATCTTAAGTGATATCTTAGGTCTTTTCAATCGTTTAAACGGGTCAATGCTGCTGTCTTTCCATATTGCCATTACATTATTACTCATTATTTATGTGAATTATTTATTTATTTATATTAGGAAAATACACATTTATTAACATGCATTAATTAGTGTATAAGCCGGAAATAGCATAAGAGCTGGTTTTTACTCACTGTCCTAAGAGAGATAAGGACAATAAACAAAACAATGAACAGAGGAAAACACAGATGACACCATACCGACTGCATACCATACCATAAATAAAATCTATAAAATCCATTAAAAAAAGAAAAGCAAGTCTAATTAAAAAATATAAACACAATGCAAGCATCTATGAATATCCATTTAAAGGCATACTAATGTATGCAACATTTTTCAGTTAATTAATGTGTTCCATAACGTTTTGGATGATTAAATGAGTCATTTCAGGTCGAAAAAGGTTTTCTGGGCCGCCCTGGTGGTCTGTAGGGGAAATACCGTACTTGCAATTGCAGGAGCCCTCGGCCCGCACCCACAGGCTC